TAAAAGCTTGATTAATTAGCCATGTCGACGAAGCTTTCGTGATGTTACCCCGCCCAATCGAATGTTACTGTCGGTGTCTCTCCTCATAATTCTTCTAACTACTATTTTGGCTACGTTAAAGGCGATACTCGGCCGAAAGAATTCAGCTATTTGAATTATTCTAAAAAAACAAACATTAACACTATTTTATAATTTAGAAAAAAAAATAGGTACTTATAAAGTATGGGCAAGCTATATATATAATAATAACTCATAATCACACATATTGCATAAATAATAAATAAATTTAAGAAAATAATTATATTTACTATAATTGCATTTACTAAATAAGAATGTATATTTTATTTACACCATTTATGTTATTATTAATTTCTTATTATTAATTTCCAATATTAATATTATTATATTAATATTGGAAATTTATAGCACAATTTATGATACAATTCTTTTTATGTTTGAGAAAACATTTACTTTTATGTTTGATGTACATGATGTTATTATTATATATATAATATTATAACAACAATAATCATAAAAATGGATCCTAACCTAATTATTTTAGCTTGCAATTATAGGCACAAATGCCAAACATTTTTCCCTCAGTAAATTTCATAATAAATATTAGTAATAAATATTTCTTTATCAAATTTAATTGGATTATTGCTAAATTTATTACTGCTAAAGTTACACATCATCACTTGAAAATCGAGACATAAATCTAGATACAAATCGCTTGTTTCGAGCTATGCAGAATTAATCTCTTGAAAAGTGGATAAGATTCTATGTCTCTCTCGTCACAGGAAGAAGCACATCGGCGTGTTACCGCGTATCTTATGTAAATGTTCGGCGAATACACGTAGAGGCACGTGTCCACGGGGACCAGCCAACAAATTGAGATTCACGCGTCTACCGACTTCGTCGGCCGACATACGATCGATGTTTCCGTCCACGTACGCTCTGTATTCTGGTATGCCTCACCCGATGAAGGGAGGTACGGAGTCTCCTCTACCGCCTTTCGCTCGACCTCTTCATATTTTTATCTTTTTATTTTTTTGTCCTGTCAACGTGATAAATCGCGCCAGATTTAATTCGGTGCGGTTACCGTGCGGAGAAAATCATTCTAAATTAATTGCACTTATCGCGGATTAATTGCACCTCGTCACGCGTAGCAAGTATTAACGCAGGTCTCATAGATAATGTATTTGTGATTTATTCAGTTGCGTGGCGGAACTTGACGGTTTCTATCACGGCAAAATATCGGTTTTGTCAATCTGAGCTTCGCTTGTCGAAAGTGATATAATATAAGCCAAAATTGTCGTGCCGTCGAATTTGCATGAACAAGATATTTACATAAGCATTTAATTTCTTACAATTTTTATTCTACATGATTAATAGTAATAATTCGTAATTTAGTGAAGCTGTATACTTCCAGATTGATAAATCGAATTGCAGGAGCTTTTGTTGGCGGCAAGTTACTTTGAGAACCTTAAAATTTGAAATTACTCAGTCCCTCCCCTGAAGATTGATGACTATGTGGGTTGCCATTCGCGCAGAAATTTATAACTTGCATGTATATACCGGTTTCTATACATGAACTAAAGGCGTTATATGATTTCTACTAAAGCTCCATTTCAAATCTATAAAGTTCAAAGGCGCGAGATTGCACGTAAAAATTTATGATAACGTCCAAACTTCCAATCACAAATTTATAACTTTTGATAAACATGCGTGTACATGCGTAAGTAGACGTTTAAAACGACTTGATAACTTTGCATTTTATGTTTGTGCGTCAAGTTTTCTCTCAAATGTATTATTATACTCACATATATTAGATTTAAATGTACAATTATTTCGCTTTAAATGTTAGAAACGACGAAAGCATTACAAATTTTAATTAATGTATATTTTAATTTAAAACAAGCATTTAAATTATAAATTGTTTTGAATAATATAACAATGATTAATTTATTATCGAATAAGAAATGATTCTTTTATTTTATTATTGTTATAATTATTTTGGTTGTGATGTAAATTATAAAGGTAAATATTAGTATTGACACATACATTATATACAATTACATTAGATAAAAAGACATACATACTATGATTTATATTTCTGCTTTTATATTTATATATACACATGTGATAACTAAATATAAAGATACAAATAATAAAATATAAATTAATAATATGGCTCACTTAGAATAAATCAATATAAATAAATAAAAAGGCCTTATTTTTCCTAAATATATATATAAAATCTTATTTTTTCTAAATATATTATACATATAATCTTATTTTTCCTAAATAACTTATGTAATATTATGATTTTTTGTATTTTTAATCTAAGAATCCGATAACTTATGTAACATTATAATTTTTTGAATGCATCTTAATATTGAGAATGACTCGACGTCGAAACATTTGTTATTGCATTTCTATATATTTATTTATAATATTACATAAATTATCTAGTAAAATTACAAATATTGATACATATCGGATGCTCCTGTGTTCCATCTTAGTTTCAAAAAATGTGTGGTCCATTAAAATTTTGATTTGATTCTAACAGCTGTTAAAAAATTGTTGGTGAACAGAATAGTTTTTCAAAGAGGAAAAATGAGATTATCACTCATTTGTCAATCACATTGAGCGATTTCTACATTACAAATTTTATTGGACCACATATTTTTAGGAATATTAAATTCTTAATTTATTTTTAACTGGCTCGTAGTCTTTTTATTTATTTATATTGATTTATTCTAAGTGAGCCATATTATTAATTTATATTTTATTATTTGTATCTTTATATTTAGTTATCACATTAGTTATACCATATGTTCATGCGACTTGTATACACTTATATGTATATGATATAATATCTTGAACCCTTAATTTAAATTTTGGAATTGTGTAACAGTTTTTATGTAAAAGAAACATTTACAACTAAATTAAAATAAAATTGTTTAAGATTCTTGTGCTTCGGCTTTATATATAATATAGATATAATATAGATACATATAATGTTTTTCAAAGAGGAAAAATGAGATTACCACTCGTTTGTCAATCACATTCAGCGATTTCTACAATACAAATTTTAATGGACCACACATATTTTTTGAAAATAAGATGAACATTCGATATATACAACATTTAAAATTTCAACATTTAAAATTTTACTACATAACTTATGTAACGTTATAATTTTTATGTGATATTATAATTTTTAAATGCGTCTTAACATTGACAATGACGTCCGATCGGCGTCGAAATATTTCTTATAATATTTCTTTATAATATTTATTTCGGAATATTGTTCTTAATTTATTTTTAACTGACCCCCTTTAACTCGTAGTTCTTCTATTTATTTATGTTGACAAATAATAAAATCACGGAATACGCTTTTGAGAACGTAATCAAATCATTTTGACTGTGCTGTAAAATTGAATTATTATCATGTACCTGAATTGTGCTTAAAAAAGTAATTACTATCCGTATAAATCTGCTTCAGTAGCTGCACATAGAATGTCTTTATTAACAGAAAAATGTTAATTTTGTTGTCAGTATTTACAATAGAATCGACCAACGCTACGACGTTTTAACACGACAATTGTCTTTTGTAAATTTTATTTATATTAAAATTTTTGTATCATATTTATATTATATTCCTATTTTATATATTTATATTTTTATCATAGCTGCTTTACATGTAATATAAAGTATTTTAAAATACAAATGTTAGATTAATTAAAGCTTTGATTTGAATTTAGTACAGGATAATTTCATATTTTAAGTAAAATATGTAAAACAATAAAAAATATCGCTTTTTCCGAAAATTTGCAAATAGAATTTCAACCTTACAGGATTACAGAATTACACTAAATATTGCTCATAACTATATTCTCATTCAATCTGATAAGAATTTAATTTCTTGATTAAATTATAGTCTGTGAACGTTATTGAATTTATGCAAATAGTAGACATGTAATTACGCTGCGCTATAAATAAATCGTATATAATGATTTATTCCTTTTCACAACATCTCAAAGTAAAATATCTTCATGATATTGACAAATTTATTCATTAAATTAGTTAGTCATCATAAAAAGAGCTACAGAAACTTGCCAATTGAATCGTAGATTTAGTTATCAGTAACTCGAAAAAAGCGAAATTTAGTTCGGTCGTTGTACGCTGAGGAACTCAGAGTAAGCAGTTATATAACGAAGGTGTAACGTGGTCCTTCCTAAAAGTTTATAACTTTATTACGAATATTCTGAGAGGCCTGGAAAAAATTCTCTGATGCGAAAGTTTGACAACTTCTCGCGTATTTTAACTTTCTCTTCTTGACTTCTGTTCGCGGCAAATTCCGTGCCTCTCAATTTCTTTCTTAGATTTGTCGTATTCTATTCTATTCTTCTAGCGCGCACACACACACACACACACACACACACACACACATATATATATTATATATAATATTTTCTATTCTACTAAACCTCTTCTGGAGATACAAATATATATGTTATAAATATCAATTTAACGTGTACGGAATGAAGAGCTATATCTAAAAAAAGATCTTTATTTTTTACTGAGGTTACAAATTAAACGATTTTCCACGTTCGTATATGTTTCATTAATCAATGAAATTTGAGCGTAAACTAAATGAACAAAGTTTTATTGCACTCTCTTTATTTCTAATCAATTAATTGCAACGACAAAATGCATATGAATACAACTATACGCCATTGTGGATGTAGCATTCTTTGCAAAAATTGAAATTCAATATTGTTGAATAAATATTGAAGTTCAATATAATTTCTATTTGCAAAAAGAATTTATTTTTTACAGAAAGAATTTATTTCGAAATTAAAGAAAAAAAAATGGCAAAATTGTAACCAAAACCTATAAATGAAATTATTATGAAAGAAATCTAGAAAATTAATTGCACATTGATTAAAACATACTTTTTTCTATTTCTTCCTTCTTTTTACTTTATAAAACTTAAGTTTAAAGAACTTAAAAAAATTTAGTAATATAAATCGTGGTTCTTATCATATGATACTCTAATTTCTTATTATCTATTTATATTTCTTAATGTATAGTAAAATATATGAATTTTATGGAAATACTTTTGAGAAGGAAACTTTTGAAAATAACTTATTAACAAGGTCAGTCAACCATGGATCCCATACTTCAGACGTTACTGGTAACATTACTCGATACAATGGTGGCCAAAATTCATTTACAAAATTTACGGCAATATTATCTGAAATTAAAAATTGATATATAACAATATTTAAGAGAAACAAATAAATATGTAATTACAATATAAGTGTAATCACAAATGTAATTATATTTATGTAAATAATTATTTTTGTTTTCTATAATCCTCTGGTTGAAAAAATAAATAAAAACATCAAGATTAAAAATAGTTAAATACAATTTTCGATGTTTGCAAATAATATATTTTTACCTTTTTACTTTTTTTTTAAATCAATGATTAGCTTAATAACTGCATTATTATATAATTTGTAATTAATATATCATACCGCGAAAAGTTTTCTAATATTTCGTCTATATCTACAAGAGATTTCTGAAGAAATTTTCTTAAAAACAAGTTTATAAGATAAAAAATGTTTAATTATATATTCTTTTTAATTTCATGGTATATCAAATTATTTTTATAAAGTGTATATATGTGTACAGGGTTGGCCATATTCGACGGAAAGATGTTTTTTTTTTCAATCATGGGAAAGAGATGTTAGATCGAGTAATGACGTTTCCCATGATTGAAAAAAAAA